ATATCACATTCTTGAGACTAATGCCAATTTGTTTAAAAGTTATTTACATCAATTTTACTTTCAATGCTATTTTTAATATTATTATAAAGAATTTGCAAACTATGACTAGTAAAGTATAGATTGGAAATAACAGCCTGAAAACCAGGAGGGTGCAAAGATGCTATGAAAGTGGTTGTATCTTTCCTGTATTGTTGCATTAAAAACCAACACTTAGAGACTTCAATGAATTATTATTTCTCACAAGTCTGTGGGTTTGCTGGGCTCAGTTGGGTATATCTTCTTTTGGCCTTCTGGGATCACACATGTGGCTGAAATAATATGTTAGCTTAACTGGGGGTAGAGAATCTAAGATGGCCTCACTCAGATGTCTGGACCTTAGTGCTATCTGTTCTGCAAGGCCTTTTGCTCCACATGGTCTCTCATCGTTCTATAGCAGCCTCCATAGCAGCCTCATTTCCTTTCACGGTAATAGAAGTTTAACAAAAGAATGGAGGTAGAAGCTATTAGACCTTTTGAGATCTAGTTTCAGAACTCCCACACCATGACTTCAAACCCATTCTATTGGTCAGAGTCACAGTTTCAACCCAGATGCAGAGTTTGGGAAATAGACTACAACTCTTGACCTATAAAGAATTTATAAAGAATACATGAGTATATTTAATATACCACAGTACTATATGCATAATTGTTGAGTACAAATTTTGTTTTTGAGCTGGTTATGGAGTGGGAAATGAGGCATTAAGGTGCTAGCTGTAGAAGGAAGAATAAATACCAGAAACTTTCATTTTTAAAAATTCCTTTATATTTTAAGAGTACATGCATATTGTAAAAAATTCCAAAAATTAAAGAAAGTAAAAAACTAAATACATTTCAAATCTAATTACCCTGAAATAACTAGTATCAAGATTAGTTGTAAAACATTCCAGCATCTTTCTATGCCTATATTACAGGTGAAGAATGGTGGATGAATGCTTAATTGAATGAAAGACATAGCTACACAAAATTAGGATAATTCTCTAGAGCTAATACAGAATAACATTTTATTTCATTTAAGCAGAAGAAATATAAAGTGAATGAAATAGCATATTACAAGATTATGTGCTAAACAGGTCTCTCTGAAGATAAAAGAAATTAGGAAAATCATTAATAGGCTATAGTCATATTTTTAACTCTCATCTTTTTAAACCTTAGAAATGATTGGTTGAATCCCTCCTGTGAAAGATAAGGATACTAGCACTGTTATATTTCCTTCTGCCTACCCTGTCCTTGTCTTCAATATTCTGTTTATTATTATCATTTTTTAAAAAAACATGTTTAAACAATAAGCAGTCCTCAAACTGAACTTATTTTACAAGCCATTGCCGAGAAGTAGGAAGAAAGATAAAGTCAGCCCAGACTATGTCAGCTCTGGACAGACTTACACAGAGAAAAATGAAAGAAGCAAAAAGCCAGAGAGAATATATAATGTTTGTTGGAATACTCTGCTTTTCATTTTATTAAATGTCCAGTATTAGAGTCTTTCTATTTACATAAGGGCTTAACTCATTATGTGAAGGTATCATTATGTTTCAGATTAGTTCCCCATTCGGTGTGCATTTGTTCCTGGAACTTTCATCTTGGTCAGAGAGAGTCAGCTCCTTGTCTCACCTGTTTCTCACAGCTGCTTACAAGATGAAAAAGATAAGGAGTTTCTTCACTTTGCATTTCTTTAAATTGACGATATTAGTGAGAATTTTTCAGATTTTCATAATTCATCATTATGATTTCTTCGGAGCCAAAGCAGCATTGGGAGCCTAAGCTGCCCTGGGAGCCTCACCATGCTGCACTACGCTTCCCAAAGATCTTTCATTTCCATCCTAGGCCACCCAACTTTTGACATTTATGATGTGACGCTATATCTTTTTTCTTTATTGTTGCTTGTGGAGGTTTTTTCCTCTAGTTTTTATTTTTTTGTTGTTCATTTTTGTAGATATTGAGGGTGAAAATTGTGCAATATAACTTCATTCTACTATGCTAATGTGAAAGGAAGCTCAATGATGTTTTTAAAAAAATACGTTCAATATAAGAGAAAATTAATTAAAGTAGACAGTGCCATCAGCTTCAGTTTTGCAACCAATGCAGAGGAAATTAAGATTCTGTATTTCTGCCAAGGTTCCAGGTGATACAAATACTGCTGGTTTTCAGATCATACTTTTACTAATAAGGTCCTAGATAACTAGACTTAGAGCTACTCTACTTGACTGTTTCCTTGAGACTAGGTATTGCACTTTATTATTCTTTGTATCCCTGTTACCTAATGAAGTGTTTGAATAAAAGTATGCTCTGACGTATTTTCTTGTTAAATAAATGAACTGATGAGTTATATAAATATACAACTATTAGGTGCCCAGAATATTCATATTCTATATTGGTGGTTGAGAAAGAATCCATATGTTTGGATACCAACTGAGTGAAGGATAGGATTGCTATTTGTGTTAAAACTCCAAAAGCCTAACTAAAATTTTTGCTCAGATGAAAAACTGTCGCACATAACACAGCTACTTTGGAAAGCAAAATACTACTTCCCAAATACTTGAACAAATCCTTAATTGAGCTCAAGATATCAAGTAATATTTAAATGAAAAAGTCTCTGCAGTGTTACCAGTTATCCATCCTGGGAATAGGAAAATGTAAGTAATATTCCTATGGTGCAACTAACCTTAAGCTGTATGACATTTTTGTGGGCCCACCCAGTTGAGTTAACTGTGAAATTCACCTTCAGGTAACTGAACACATTTTCTCTTTAAGACTAGTAGTTCTCAATTGCTTGGCTATACTTTAAATAAAACTACTTGGGAAACTTTTTAAAATTCCAGTGCCCAGGTAGCACCACAGAAATAGGACCCAAGCATCAGTATTTTTTCATGCTCCACAAATGATTTCAGTGTACAACTAAGGTTATGAACCATTACTTGACTGTGAGTTCGTTGAAAGCAGAGTCACTCAATCATTTATGTTTTAACTCTTAACATCTAATATCTACGTGGTATAGGTACTCAGTAAATGTTCACTTAGTCGGTGAATTATGCTATAAGCAGTTATTGCCTACTGTCAAACGGTAGCCTTCTTCAGTATAAAGGGACTATTTTGACTTTGTTAGCACCTGGAAATTTGAAAAGTCCAAAAGCCCATTTGGTATTAACAATACTGAAAATTGGTATTCAATGGAGATTTGTGTGTATGTGTATTTGAGATATTTTATTAATACAACTTCAGTTTCATTACCACTTTTTATCAAGATCTCAAGTAAAATAGGATGTGGTCAGAGATGAGAAAGCTGTGGCACAGAAACTCCAGTACTGTGGTGGGGTACTTAGGAATGGTACAAAGAAATCTAGAGTGTTCTAGGGCCCATTAGTAGGAGGATAGTCAGTTAATCTCATTGCTGAGTTGTGGCATCAACACTGTTTTTTTAATAGACCAAATAGAACAATAACTACTTAGAATAATCAGTATTTATGCCTTTCTACTATTTAAATAGAAGCATAAGACAATGGAAATTTTAAGTTTGGTTTATGAAACCACCTCATAATCACCTTATTATAATACTCGTTGATTTTTGTGTGTGTGTGAGCTTTCCTCAGGACATTGTAACTATAATGGAATGGAAGTTTTTCAGTTAGGCTCTCAGTCTACAAACTATGTCTTTTAAAAATAATTTGCTGACATTAATTAATCACAGTGAGAAAAATCCCCTTCATTTGGAACTTTGGGTTCTCCATTCCTGCAATACCAGGATTAAATAAAAATGTGTGAGGGTAAGGGAAAAAATCAATTTTAGATCCTGAATTTGTCCTAAATAATTATCCTGCATTTTATGTCACTAATGAATTTGAGAACTGAGAACCATTTATTTTACATTTAGGTATTAGCTGGCTTCTTGCATTTCATGCCTAGTGACTAGCAAGTAAATGATACTATTGTATTATTAAATTTAGACCCAAATTGTAAAAAGATAGTGAAATATAATACCAAAGCATGTATTTGATTACAATTTAAATGAGCACTTAATAGTCCTTTTTAATAAATAACCAAAATGTAGGATGGACAAATAGAAGTAGAAGAGAATAAGCAGATAGAGATCCTAGTTCCACTTCTTTACAAACTAGCTGGTAACTTTTGGTAAATTATTTAACCACTTTGTACTTAAATTTCCTATCTGGAAAATGAAGAGGCAAATCTGTTGAGGCCTCTACCAACTCCAAAACTTTATGGTCTCTAAATCCAATTTCTGTCATAGTACTGGTGTGGAAAAATAGAACATTAAGCAATCATTTATTCTACATGTTTGTTTTAAGGCAACTATGTAAAATAAATCCTAAAAATGTAAAATTTTTCCCAAGCAAATTGAAACAGCAGAAAATACTGACTCAGTCACAGACAGAATATAAGGAAGCATATATTAAGGGTGCAACAGATCTGGTTTGAATCACAGTTCTTACTCCTTCTAGTGTTTGAGCCTATTAATGAGTTTCTGGATCTCTCTATATCCATTAATGAAAAAAATGAATGAGTCACCTTCCTTAACTATAAAATTGAAGTATATTTACTTGACAAGATTCATATAGTTATTAAATAATGAGATCATATGATCAACACATAGATAGTACTCAGTTTTTTTAACCTGGGTTTAATTTGAATGGCTGAAGTGAACTTCAGGTATGCCATGTAAGTACATAAATATTAATTATAATTTCTTTATTTATGGATATTTTCCATGTTTCATTTACTTTAAGAATTTGATGCTTACATTCTCATTTTCTATAACAAATGAAATAACCAAAACTGCAGTGTGTTTTAATCAACAGGGAAACTATCCCATGAACTGTGCTTCAAAATTTTCTTTGATGGTTGAAAAGAATTTGTATTTTCTCACTGTACAGAAAGCATTTGAATATGTGCATGTTTTGAGCAGTCAGGCAAGCCCTTCTGCATATGACAATATTATTGTTTTCTTTCAGGAAACCCTGATAGATTGGTGTGATGAAAAGGAACTTAATTTGATTTTAACAACTGGAGGAACAGGGTTTGCACCCCGAGATGTCACTCCTGAGGTGAGATAGTATATGCCTTTGTCATATTCAAGGAGTAAATGATTCATAATACTGTTAAACTTTTTTACTATTTTATATTATTTTTGTAATTTTACTAGACAGAACAAGAGACTTGTGATTCTAAGAATGTGAAAATTTTGCTGTAGAAGAATCATTACATTAAAAAAATGTTCCTCGACTTTTTTTTCTTTGGACTGAACCTAGAAGTGATATAATATGAGGAAGATAGAACTGGTCCAGAAGTTAATCCTGCATTTGCTCATTGCTCTGTGGTATCAGCTGAATTTTAGGCATATTGCCAAAGGAGGTGATAGCAAAACTCTGATTCAGCGTGGCATCTGGTCTGATCTACTTTGTTACTATAATTCAAAATGTATCTGACTTCTCTTTTCTTGAAATAGCCTTGTCATTAGTCTCAAAGCATAACAGAATGACTACAAAAGAATATTTATACATTTTTATGATTTTAATGAGAAAGAGTTGTATATTCCATAATTCTAAATGTGAATTTAAATGCAGAATTTAATAAGCCAAAAAGCAGAATCAATATCTAGGCTTCATGCCACAAGAATCACCTTCAACCTTTGCTCAGGGAGAAAAATTAGGAAAAGAATGAAATGTAGGCAAGTAATCAGTGAGATGGGAAAACAATCTTTTCAAGGAAGCTTTACACTTCAGATATCACTTCAGAGTCATATGCAAACTTATGTTATCACTTGTTACATTGATTCCTTAATCTTCTAAAATAAGTGTTTCTTGGCTAAATTTCAACTTAATGTTAATTATGTCAAATCAGTACTACTGTATCTACCATCTTATTAACAGCAAGATACGTTTGCTCTGCACTTATTAATAAGTACTGTCCTTCTTACTCTAGTATAGTAGAGTAGTTTTCAAACTTTAGCCTGCACCATAGTTAGAGGGCTTGTTAAAATAGATTTCTGGGACGTACCCACAGAGTTCCTAATCAGTAAATCTGTAATGGGTCCTGAGAATTTGTATTTTTAACAAGGCCTTAGGTGATGTAGATGTTGCTAGCCCATGGACCATACTTCCAGACTTTGAGAAGCCACTCTTTTAGTGTATGAAAATGCTAAATTTTTAAAGCAAGTTATAAAATATTTTCTATTCTTCTATGTGAAAATCATGGCACAGAAAATTTTTTGAGTGTTATTACAATTACACTTATAAAGAAAATGGTTTTGCTTTTGAAGCAATCAGAATAGAGTTGTATTGGGAAATTGTTCATTTCAACTGCTTAAAAAAGAAATCATCCATATATAATTTATTTAGCTTCTGGGTCCTAAGGGGTCCTTTAGCCAGCTTTTACATTTCTTTTAAACTGTTCAGCTAACTAAGTGCAATTGGAGGTAAGCTATCTCCTATAGAAGTGTGTTTGTGTTCTATATTGTTTATAAGAAAGTTACCTATGTATTTGAAGACATTGATTTGTGAAGTTTGGGAGTTTTGTTAAGTGTTTGAAGTAAATGACCTTGGGTTTACATATCTCTATTTCTGTGTGATGGCTTGAAATTTTCATAATGTTATTTATGTATCAGAAAAGTAGAAAAAAGTTACTGTAGAATTCATTAATAGCCAGACAATATTATTTTTAATCATGTGGAAATATTTTTGTATCACAAAGTTAAGTATTTTGTATATTGTGAAGCTTCAAATTAATACCAAATGCTAGGTTGAAAATTCACACCTTTGAATTCTGGCTCTGCTGTATACTAACAAGTTGGCCATAGACTAGGCATTAGACTTTCTGTGGCTTATTTCCTTTGAAATGAGGGAAACAAAAGTACCTATCTAGTAGGGTGGCAGTGAGGATTCAGTGAGAACTATTCCTGGCATTTTAGTGAGTGCTATATAAGAGATAGCTTATAAGATTAAATCTTCTCTATTAGTTGCTGTCTAACCATGAAGAGGACAAATTGGTTAATATATTTTTGTATCTAACCACCAAATGAACAAAAACAATCTCATACAGATTTAAACTATATCCATGAAATCGTCACAATCTTGTTAAATTTTTTTTTAATTTTGTTATAGTAAGCTTCATATTTTGTCTTTTCCATCTCCATTTAAATCAGAGGTCTTAAATTTCTACCATTCTAATGCCTGTTTATTCCCTTCCCCTGTTTTTTGGTACTGTTAGTTGACAAGAGTCTATTTCTTTCCATGACCTTGAATATTTTCTTATATCAGAAATGGAGAAGTCCCTTGTTAAATGAAGTTTTACCTGAAAACCTTATATTCATATATGCCTAAAGCAACTACCTATATAATATTATATTAGGGGTTTTTTAATGAGTTTAAAATATATATAAATATGACTTCTCTAAAATCTGTTTTTGAAAACAGGTGACTTAACTGATTGTGAATATCTTGATCTTTGATACTTTCCTTCACTTCATATTATACACAGACACACACACACATATGGTATGATTATCTATATATAGCATAAGCCTATAAAACTGTTCAGCCTTTGAAAAATAAACATAAAAGCAATATAGAGCCATCCAAAAATAATTGTACTAAATTCCCATTTCCTCTACACTCTTGAATAGTTGCAATTCTTATAATATCTGAAATAGAACCCTGGAATGTCAGCTAGGAATCCAGAAATATAATTTTGGGTCTGTAATAATATATTTATTTGTCTTTAAGTTTTTTGTCTTATATGATTATATCTAAAAAGAGAGGAAACTATTTCTAGACCACATTTACCTATATACAACTTAGGATTGCAAATATTTTTAAATAGAGTCAGAAGTTACTGATAGAAAACACAAATGTTAATGATAAAGGTAAAATAATATAAAGCATCTCTCTTAAGATACTAATATTTTACAGTCAATAATTATCAATAATTAGTTTGATCTACAAATACAAAGGACAGTTTTTTATGGGATGTATGTGTTGTTAGACAAAAAAAGGGAGAAAATGATGAATAGAATGAGAAATAAACAATTTAAAGTTATAATCAATGGGTTTGAACCTTAGAGAAAATACAAAGCTTAATAAACTTAGATTTCTTCTCACATTGAAATGAAAATGAAAAATGTAATAGCAAGTTTACAAAAGTATATCCTGTTTGTTTACATATTTTATAGAAATAAGGTAGGCAATCAGAATTTCTTTTCCCCCAAAATTAGTTTCTGTTTTTAAGCCCTGTATCTTAGAATGCAGTTCATCCAGTAGTTGCATGCCTGCTGCCGGCACCCTGCCTCTAAACATGAGATATATCAAAACTTACATGTAACATTACCATAATCACACTCTTCAACTTTTTAGTTTTATTGGAATGGAAAAAGTATCTTTTTTTAAGAATAGATTATATTTTTTCTGATCTGATAAAGGTTGGGTAATTTGTTGGCACAGGAGAAATGCTAGTAATTATGAAATTCTATGAAACATAAGAACTTAGTGCTGTACTCATCACTATATAAAGTATTATCTTTTTGTGCCCCATTATCACTTAAAAATTATGTATTTTCAAAATAGGTATTATCTAAAGAATATTCTTAAAAGTATAATTAAAGATGTACAAATGAAGTGAAGTGAAAGCCCTTTACACATAAGTTCTAGAAGAGACTAAAAGATTAAGAGGCATTTAAAAAAAGAACATCTATGTAAATAAAAAGAAATGTTTAATAATGTTGTAAATTAGAAGGTATCAAATTATTTAATGTTTATAAGGTAAAAATAACTTACAGCGGTTTTAGAGTATTAGGCTACATCAGAATAAAGGGTTGTGTATTCAAATATTTTTATTACGAATTAAGAAGTTAAATAAAAGCCTGCCATACATCTTCACTCTCATCTACTCACTCATTCATTGTGCTTTTCATTTTTAATCCTTAATGTGTATCTGATGCCATGCTGGGTGCTGAAGTTAAAAAAATGAACGAGATATAGTCACTATCCTCAAGAAACTCTTAATCTATCACAGAAGTCAGCAGACTACAGCCTGCAGGCCAAATCCAGCCTATCAAATTTTTCTGTATGGCTTGTGAGTTTAGAGGGGATTTTGCATTTTTAAGTGGCTGAAGAAAATTAAAAGAAGAATAATACATTGTGAGACATGAAAATTATTTGATATTTACATTTCAGTATCCATAAATGAAGTTTTATTGGAACACAGCCATACCTAGATATGGCTAAGGCTGTTATTAGCCTAAGGCTAATTGCCTAAGGCTACAACAGCAGAGTTAAGTAGTTACAACCAAAACCAAATAGCTTACAAAACCTAAAATATTTATCATCTAACCCTTTGCTGAAAGTTTGCCGACCCCCTGGTCTGACAATAAGTCATCTTTTTATTGACTTTTTAAACTGATTTGTACCTTTTTTAACTTATTGGATCTTTTGTTCTTTAATAAACCAAAATTATGTGGTCTTCAATTCTTAACTTTAATTTTTTCTTTTTGTTTTGTTTTATTCTTATTGGACTGTAGTTGATAATACACCATTATATTGGATTCAGATTTACAACATAGTGACTCGATAATTATATACATTACTAAATGCTCGCCACAGTAATTGTAGTCACCTCCTGTTACCATACCAAGATATTGTAATATTGGATATATTCTGTATGTTATACTTCCATTTTTACAACTAATTTAAAATTTGAATTTTGTACCTCTATCCCCTTCACCTCTTTTACTCATCCCACCACTCCCCTCCCTATGGTAGCCAATAGTCTGTTGTCAGTATTTATGTGTCTGTTTCTTTTTTTCTTTTTCTTTTTTAGATTCTACATATAAGTGAAATCATATGGTATTTGTCTTTCCCTATCTGACATATTTCACTTTAAGCAAGGAAACACTTTTCTGCCATAATGACATGTATTGCTTCAGTGTCTCAATAGACAATATAGCATAACAAAAATAAAAGGTCCCTTATTCTAAAGAATATATAAAATTTTGAACTTTCAAAATTGATCATATTAATGGATTTGTTATACCTTAAATAAAATATCATTCTTA